ATCCCAGGACCCTGGGATCATGACCCGAGCCGAAGGCAGACGCTTAACGACTGAGCCACCCAGGTGCCCCACAAGGATTTCTTATCTAAGGTCACATTCAGCTATAAAAATATGTGATTCTTGATCATTTTTTTTGTATTAGCAATTGCACAGCTGTCACTGTATGTTACTGAGAAATAAGGTATTCATAATGTGAGAAACAGATGTCCAAGTAAGCCTGGCTTTTTACTCCATAATAAAAAATTGGGCATCTTGTGGAGAGGGGAGAATAGTTAGCTAAAAAAATTTAGCTAGAAATTATAAAATAACACTACCTTGTCAGTTGGAGCAAAGTAACTGGGCTTTTAGTTGAAAATTGGAAATAGTATAGTTTTTATGATTACTGTTAAGTGTATTTTTAAAGTTCGTCGGGATGATTATGCCTAACAAATTATAAGAGTAGCTTTTAGACCTAATTGGCACGTCATTTGAAAGTTATAGAACCTTTCCCAGAAAAATGGGTACATGCCAGAGTATTTTACATTTTCTTCCAAGGAGTTTGTACCAGTTTTAGAATGCAGTTTGACACCTTGCCAAATGAATTCGCCATTATTTATTTACATTTGCTCCTTCTGAAGCTAAGTAGCTAATAGTGTTCTAATCTGAGATCATTAATATTTATTGAGCACCAAATATGTGTCTGGCACGAAGACCGGTATGACTGGTTCCTGATAAAAGTTCTGATAATCTGGTAGGGAAACGTTGTAAGTAATACTGTAAGGAGATAGGCACCATTTTCCTTAGCAATGTTACTGAAATCCTACCTTTATTTACTGAGAAGTATTCTAAGGAAAGGGTAGGCAGCATTCAGCCTTCTTTCATTATTTATACCTTTTACTGTATCACCCACATAAAAATAGTCCCACTGGATAAAGAGTAGATGACCCATTGTCATAACCTTTAAATTCTACATTCTATGTATTAGAAAGAAATCTATTCCTCTGTGTGTTGATGAGTATTTACATGAACTATAGTGTTCCTGTAGAGGAATTTTAGGATATGGGACTTCAATATTCTCTTCTGCAAACTGAAGTATTGAAAAAGAACGGGCTTTAGGATCTGTCATTCTGTAGAGTTACACCAGGATTTTGCTCTCTGTATTACTTGTTCCATCTGTGATTATGTACTTTAGTAAGATTTGGTAAGGATTAGTGTAGTCAATATTTTTTAAATTACTGAGATTTGAGGGATGCTTATTAAGAATTAAGTCAGTTTTAAAATATTTATGTAGATGATATACTCATCCATTGCATTTAGGGTTTTAATTTTATAAAAATTCTTTTTTATTTTAGGAACAAGAGTTGAACGCTCGAGCCCGGGCCCTACAAGCTGCATCTGCCTCCTGTTCATTTCGTCCCAATGGATTTGATGACAATGACCCACCAGGAAGCTGTGGACCAACTGGTGGAGGGGGTGGAGGAGGATTTAATACAGTTGGCAGACTCGTATTTTGATCCTGAGAGAATCCAAAATGCACTGGTCACAAAACATCTAATACTATGACTGTTAAAATGGCAGACTGTAACAAATATCATACCTATCTTTTATTTTTCTTTTCATTAGACCCTGTACTTTAAGAAAACACACTCAGTGCTTGTTTTTATTTTCTTGACAATACATTTATTAACAAATGCATCATGGGAAAAAAATCTACCTCTTAAAATTCCATTTGCTTTTATGGTTAGACATGCTTGACCAAAAATTTTCAGAGGAAAATGTGTACCCAGTCCCTAATTAAGCTGCATTAAATTTAGCAGAGGCATTTAAATGGTCTCGTCCTCAGTTTACTAAACAAAAAAATATAATTCATTTAGCATCTTTTATAAAAGAATTGATGCTAGAAATGATGGAAATACTGGTTAAAAAGAAAGAAAAAATCCTTTATTTCATGCATAGTACCCCATTATTAAATTCAAATCTTTTAAAATGCTAAAGATAATACAGTCTCTAATGAAGGCAATAACATAAAATTTATTAGGCTATAGTACTTTTCAGGTTTTTGTTTAGTGCTATCTTCAGCATCACTGTATCTGCATTTCAAGTACAAATGTTTTAAAAAAGGATTATTTATACATATATGCTGAACTGATTTTAAGAAAGGTGCATGATCCTGTAGGAACATTTTTACCTAAAAAATTGCTAACTTTGTAGTATTTCTAATTGTTTAAGGATTTTTAAATTCTGTTTCAGGGAGTATATCTTCTGTGTGTTTTGAAGGAGGTGAGTTCTGTATGTGCCTTGCAGTACTGTAATTCAAAAATAGGAATCTTTGGCTGCGGAAAAGTTTTTTAAAAATGAAATGTTAGGAAGTAATTTTTTTGTGCTAACATTAAAATTATAACTTTTTGAAAGATATTAGATTTTCCTGAAGTAAAATCCAATGGTTCTAAATCAATAAGTGTGATAGATTATTTTTAAATCATAGAAGAATTCAGAGGAAATGAGCCTAGGCAAGTAAAAAATCTTTTTTGATTTTGTTACTTAATCCTCAGATTATTAAACATCAATTGCATATTTTTAGCGTTGGACATTTGTTTTTTTTTTTATTTGAATCTTGTGCTTTGCACAGTTGTTTCTGTTTCATAGTCTCAGATAAAATGGTGAAATGTCAGACCGTACCATCCTGCATTTTCTTTTACCGGGGAGTGGGAAACAAGTCAGTTCTCCTGGGTCTTGATTATATGTATTCTAGGAGTTATCCCGGTTGTCCCGTTTCCTGAAAGTTTTAACTTATCCATGGTTGTACATTGTTCTGAAATCGGTCTCATATTTATTTTGAAAACATTTTAAGGAAAGAGTGTTCTTTGGTGATTTGGAGTTTATCTTTTTCCCAAGCTTTTAACAGTCATAGTTAAAAACAGAACTCCTCATCTTCATTCCACTGTGTCCTACTCCTAACTCGTTTCCAGTCACCGGGAAGATTAGGAAAACTGATTGGATTAAAAGTGGAAATTCTTTGCAGAATTGATTGAGATTTGTCTTTTCTATAAATGAATGAAACAGAAATTTTTATCACACTCTCTTTCCTGTGTGCTTCCTCTTGTCTTAATAATGTATTGCTAAGCTACTCTAGGTATTCAGTTATCCCCTGTCTAATTAATGATTTATTATCAGATTATATCAGTGTTTAGCATTTATTGAAATTGGTAAAGTCATTTAATACCTGGTACATTAATATTGGGCTCAGGTGTTCCTGGAAACTTTCTTAAAGACAGACCTAAACATGGGTTTATCTATGAATACCAAATCATTCAAGGATTTTTATCTGTCAAAGTAATACATACTGAATTTTCAAAATGATAAAAAGATGGAATTCTAGTTATAGAAAAATACTGGAACTATTCAGATAATAATTTCATACCAGTAGCAAAGACTTAAAGACTTCCTTTTCAGATTAAACTATAATAACATTAATCATTTGCTGAATTTAAAGTATTTATATAAATGAACTTGAAACTAGAATAACCAGAGGCTCCATTTCTCACATTCCTAACCTCTTATAGAGGTTTTTGCCTCTTACAGATTCTGTAAGGTCTGACTCTGCTAGGGTACTATTGCTGCTTCTCTTTAGTTCATTCCAAGGTCATCAGTTCAAATGAAGCTGCTCAGTGCTCCTCAAAAGAGCACATTAGGCCCCACCACCAACAAAAATGAAAAATTGGATATCTAAGTCTGTTCCTTTCAAAGATCTTTATTGACACATTGAGAAAAATAAAATTTTTCTTCAGAGAGATATGCAAAGAAGAAAATATATATAATGTGGTCAGTCATGAAAGCCCTTATAATCCATTCACTAAGCAGGTGCCTATGCAACTCTGACTCATGACATTTACATAGTTCAAGTTGGAGAACAGAATCTAATTCATTCTTTGTTCAAGCTTCTTCCCACCACCTCTCTTCCAGCTGAATAATCAAGAGAAAGAGCCCTGATTTTTGTCTCCATACCTTAAGACTCCAGAAGAATCCTTTGGATGTAGAAATAAAGATTCCTCATGATGTCTAGAGGTATTGGGGATCCTTATAACAGGTTCAAAAAAGCCTACTATTAACTCAAATCTAGAAAGAACAAAAAATATTTCAAAGCTAAGTTTTAAGCTGAAATCTGTAACGTTCCTTCTCAATTAGTTCTACTCTCTTTATGATAATGTTATTTACAAAAGTAGTTGTCTTTTCATATACTACCTCTTTAAAAACTTTTGCTACCCTCCTATAAGAAGGGGTTGAATGCTTCTTGTGTATGCAACACAGTTGAAGAAAAACAAAATTGGCATACTCTGTCCAGTACACAGATGTTAATGGAAATCACCATTTTGATGTTGTGTACTTTGTTCCAGTTCTTAATTCCCAGTATATCTTTCTCCTGTGATTGTGCACTTCACATAATATACTCAATACAAAGAGAGCTTTTTAAGTGACTATTTCAGAGGAAATAATACTGTACATTTATGTATAGTATCTTTGTCATATGAATGCTATACTTTCTATATCCTTTCATCCTCTGCTTTTCTCTAATGAGTTTAGATTTCTAAAACTATTGCTGAAGTAAAGAAGGATAAGTTATTTACATTTTATAAAAACATAAGAAGTGTTAACTGACTTCTATTAACAACTCAGTAACGTCATCTGAGGGAGTAAGGCTAAACCTTGGATAATGTAATATGAGAGCTTAAAGTGCAACAGCTAGCAAATTTAAATTAAAAATTGTCTCAAGGAAGCTTAAAAAATAAATCTAAAATATAAGTTGCTCCATATATACATTCTTAAGTATTTACCAAACTGTCACATACCATCATAGTGTTAGCCTTATTTTGTTATTACTAAGTTAATTTTCTTAAAGAATTCTTTATAGGAGTGAGTGAATCTCAAAATGAATAGGGGATTTAAAAAAAAAACACAAAGATTTAAAATAAACGGCTTTTTTTTTTTTAAAGCACTATCTTGTAAAGAAACTGCAGCTTCCCCTTATAAAAAGAAATCACTATAGAACTAATTTTTAAAGACATGAAATAAAGATTTTTATAAAATCAACAACCTGGGTTTTACAGATTCAAAGGGATTTGTTATGTAAAACCTTCAGCCCCAATGTTATATAACCAGTGTGGATTTGACATTAAAAATAGAATCTAAGAAGTCAGCCAAGTGTGTTGCCAGCACTCATCAGTGTCAGTTATGGCCTGCAGTTGTTTTTCTCTTAATCTCATGTTTTCACATTTTGCTTTGTGTGCTAGACACACACACACACAATGTACATACACACACACACCTTGATTTCAGAGAGATGAGAAAGCCTTCCCTAGCTAGATCAGCAGTTTTCAACTTTGCATTCATGTTAAAATCACTCAGAGTTTATAAAAAATAAGAGCATATCCAGGCCTCACCCCAAACCAATTAAATTATGTGGAGACCACGCATCAATATTTTTTGAAGTTCCTCATGTGATTTTGATGTGCAGCATTGGTTGAGAATTTCTGGGCTAGAAAAGGAGTTTTTTCCTAGGGCTTTTATCCAAGATAACTAGTATATTGACTGTCTACCATGTGCGGGAGACTGGTTGATATTTCTATGTCTTTTTGCTCATAACTTTGCTCTCTCTAACCCCATTACAGAGCAGTAAAGTCTTACTAAGGAACTTGCTCAAAATCATGCAGGTAAAAAATAAAAAATTGAGATTTTTAAAACTAAGACTTGAGATTTTAACCAGTCTTAAGAACTCCAGTCAGTATTCTAATGGAAAGATAATAACAAGTGGAGAAAAATGTGAGCTAAAGACTTATGCAAATTACATATTAATAAAGCCTTGCCCAATAAATTTTTTGAAACAAAATTTCTATAATGTTTCACTTCTCCTTGTGCCCTTCAAATATGATTCCAAAAAAATAAATAAATAAAGTGAGATCTGCTTTGTTAAAACCTGTAAGTAATGATCTAAATGGTTGACAAACATGGTTCTTAGCAAACTCATTTGCTAAGCCAGTTTAATTCTGCTTACTTGCCTAACTTCTTCCATTTTTCCCCTTCTGGCCTCCCTCAGTCATATTGGATCTTGCATAGTTCTTATTCAAACATCATGTACTTGCCATCTCTAGGCTTTTGTACATGAAAGTCTCAGTAGAGCATACCATTCCCCTTACTCTACTTTCCCCTCCCTGCTTTCTGTTGACTAATTTCTGCTAACCTTTTACTATGCTTAAGTCTTCTCATACTACACTCCCAAACTGATTAGTCTCCCATTTTATCCTGGATTGTGTCTTACTGCGTTTGCTTTGAAAAGGCCATGGCCTAGTAGTGGAGTGAAATTAGTCATAGAGTAAAGGCTGATCATTTACACCCAACAAAGATTAAAAGCAGGACTTGAAACAGTCAAACTCATCTGTGAGTAATTTAATTGTCATACAAACTCAACACTTTTTAAAGGAGTACAATAAACCTAGCATTTAAGAAAGTAAAATTCCAGCATCTGGTAAAAACTTATCAGGCATTCAAAGGAGGAAAATATATCCAGGGGGGAAAAGACAATACAAACAGATTCAGAAATTATGAAAGGGAATTGACAAACTAAGAGCTTAAAAGAATGTAAAGAAAAACATGAACACAATGAAGAAAGAAGTGGAAAATTCAAGAAACTCAACCCTAGCAGAATACCATGGAATCACATGATGACATCATAATCAAATTACTTAAACACAATGACAAAGAAATTCTTAAAAGCAGCCAAAGAAACAGAACACATTACATACGAAAAGGTCAGCAAACTATATACAACCCTCAAGCCAAATCTATCCTACCTCCATGTTTTTCATAAAGTTTTATAGGAACACTGCCACACCTACTTGTTTACCTATTGTCTGTGGCTGTTTTCACACTACAAAGGCAGAGTTGAGTAGTTGTGACAGCAACTATATGGCCTGCAAAGCCAAAAATATTTACTAGAACACTTCATAAGAAAAAAAAAATAGTGACCCCTGAAAACACAGAAGAAAAACAGTCTTATAAGAAAATAAGCAAGCTAAAAGGCAATGGAATGACTCAGATCTAAAAAGTGCAGAAAGAAAAAAAATTGTGAACCTGTGACTATTCACTGTATCTGTGAAAATGTCATTCAAAATGAAGATGAAATAGATATTACAGACAAAAGAATTTTTCCTTGAAGTTTGCACTACATGATATGTTAAAATTCTTCGGGCTGAGGGAAAATGATATCAGATGGAAACTTGGATCTACATAAATGAATGAAGGATACTGGGAATAGATTTCGCACCAGTGACTCAATTTACAGAATATCCAGGAATGGAGGAACAGCTTTGGAAAAGCTCAAGACTCACACTGTGCCCATGAGCAGCAATTTAGAAAAAGGAAAAGAAGTATGAACATGGACTAGAGTAGGGTTTGGCAAGCTATACCCCGTGAGAGCCAGTCACTTATTTACATAGAAAATCCAAAATAATATAAGAATGTCACGTATAACTTACATATAAACTTTTAGAATTAATAAGTTTAACAAGTTCCCTGAATACAAAGCCAATATATAAAATTTAAGTGTATATCTATACATCAGGAACAAGTATTAGAATATAAAATTTAATAATGATAACATATGCAGTAATATTAAAAAGTCCATTTTTTAGAAACCTAACAATAGATGTATAAAGACCTCCACACAGAATACTACAAAACATTTAGAAAATTAAAGAAGACCCAAATAAATCATGGCTTAGAAAGCTCGATAGTATAAATATCTAAATTTTCTTAAACCGACGTAAAGAATCGATGCATTCCCAACCTTGGGATTTTTTTTTTTTTT